TGGTCATTTTGACCGCGTTACCGACAGACAGACAGACAGACACAGGTGAATTTCGGTTTCTAGACCCTAGCCTTTCAGTCTAGGGAAAAGAACTTTACATGGATGTTTTTTTGACCTCGATGTTCTTTTGACCCCGATGCAGACACACAGACATACACACACACAATCTATTTTTTTTCATATGACCCTCCCTACAGTAGAGGGAAAATATATTATGATTATTTTAATATTAGGATTTCAAAATCTATAAAGATTATTCATGCTTAATGATGTAATTTAGATATTTTTAATATTGAAAAGAATATTTTCATCAACATGATCGTAATTTGGTCTATTCTCATTATTATGTGGAATGTTCTTTCCTTATTAGCATGAGAGCATTGTTTATTTTTCTCTGTTTATATTTTTGAATTGATATTTGTTTTATTGGAAAATATTTAAATTTAGAAATGAAAATCTTCATTTATTGTTCTATTTTAAATCATCATATAGAATAAATAATATTCACTTAATATTTTTTATTATTGAGTATTGTTATTCAAACAGTCTTACTTTGTGATTATCTTTTTAAAATATTAAACAATTGCTTTTACTTTATTCGATGAATTAATGAAAATATACTATTTTGTAAAAATGATTAAGAAGTAGATGACAAAAGAACATTGCTTGCTTGACAAGATGAAAAATTAGTTATGACGTATCATGATTATTTGTATGTTCTATACATGAAAAACATATTTACTTAGTGAAGTTAAGAAAAAAACATTAGTTGAATATTATCTCAGAAAAAAATCCCATAAAAACAAAAGGCAAAAACCCAAAATGTACACTCAAAATAAAATCGTTGCAAGTAGGTATGTAAACATGCATATCAAATCAAAATAAATCAAGGGAAAAAAACCTTCGACATGTGCCTTCTCTTTATGCATCTCTCTCGGCTTAATATCTGATTTTGGGTTACGCTTGAGAAATTCGAAAAAAAACACAACAAAGTCGTATATAAATACATGCAATAAAATCAGTCTTTATTCATTGATCAAAACAGAGAAATATTGCTTTGTACTCTACGCATTTAGTAATACATTAGACATGTTTGGTGGTTTCAATCCTGGTATGGGTTCAGAAATGGCATCTGATATGTCGATGCAAAGGAATATTCCCGGCGGATTAAACAGTAAGAATCCTAAATCGTTATTGTTAATATTATTAGAATATGAATTTATTTTTCATTTTTATTATGTACATATATATGAACTGTGGCTACCAAATCTATTCAACAAGGGCTATTCTCAATTTGTTTCTTCTATCATAATCACAAAAAAGAATTTGAACAGTGATTCAAATAGAGAAAAAAATATACACAACAAGAATATGCGAAAATAGTCTGATTACCAGATCCCAAAAGACAGGAATCCCAGAAAGTCAAATCATCATTTTTCAGAATCTAGAATAAACAAAAATAATTTTGTGCAGATTTTACGAAACAATAGATCAAAGTTACTTTAAAATAATGAAACGTCTTCGGGTTTTCTACTACCTCCTTTTTTTGCTGACATCCAATAATCTTACAAAAGTCTATGAAGGTATTTTTCTACTACTTTCCATGAAAAATTCAATTTGAGAATTTCAATCAGATTGTTCTATGTCAGTAAAAAAATTCGTACAGTACTCGGAAACATCTTATTTTGTAGAGAATTGTTTGATCTATGGTTTCGTTTACTCTAAACAAAATAAAACTTGTATCTTCTAGGTAGTGAAAAGTGGCGGTTCAATTTTCTGGGAACCCCAACTTTCAGAATTTGGTAATCCCTTTTTTTTCTTATATTCTTAGATGGTATGCTTTTCTCTATTCGAATCACTATTTGGATTCTTTTTTTTGCAATGATGGTAGCAAAAAAAAATTCAAAATAAACCTTGTTGAATAATTTTGATAGCTATTGCATATATAATAAATACTTATGATTAGTTTGTTTATAATTTTCAAAGTATTATCTTGATAAAGATTGTGTCATTTTCTATAATAAACATTGAATTTTTATCATAAATTTCAATAGTAATATATTTTTTATTCGAATGAATAATGATAAATACATAAATAATATCCATCAAAAAAAAAGAACGAATATTCCTTTATTATTTCTTTTTATGTAGGTTCCATGGGTGGATCTGGTGCTGTATATAGTGGTGATTGTGGTGCTGGATTTGGTCTATATGGTGGACCTGGTGGAGGATATAGTGGTGATTGTGGTGCTGGGCTTGGTTTATCTGGTGGAGGATATAGTGGTGATTGTGGTGCTGGGCTTGGTTTATCTGGTGGA